GGTTGGGCAGCCCCCACCAAAATTTTATTGTTAAAAGATCGAATCATCCAAATTGACAGTTTTTATTTTCATCACCGAAGGTTTTTGTTTTGTATCTGTGATGGTGATTTTTTTTACGTTATTAATGAAGAAGTGAGAGAAGTGTTTGTATGAGAACTGAGAGAGTTATTTAATAATTAATTCTACTTAAACAAAGTGTTATATAAGAATATCTTCTTTATCTTAACCACAAGTCTCTCAAGTTAGTCACTTCTTCACATATTTACATCTTTTCTCACATTATTTCATCAAAATATTATAACCCTAATTGCACTTTCTTAAGAAAATTTAAATCATATAATCAAAAATTTTCTAAATTCCCTTACACAATTTATACAATATTAAATTTATTTAAACAATGGTGAGGGAGAGTGTAGATATGTCTATGATAACATGTACACATGTATGTATATATGTGTGTTGGTAGTGATGTATATGTGTACACATGTATGTATATATGTGTGTTGTAGTGATGTATATGTGTACACATGTATGTAAATTTGTGTGTTGGTAGTAGTGTTTTTTGTATGTATGTAAAATGTGTACACATGTATGTAAATGTGTGTTGGTAGTAGTGTATTGTAGTGATGTATATGTGTCACATGTATGTAATATGTGTGTTTTGTAGTGATGTATATTGTAGCATGAAAGTGAAAGCAAACGTCAAAAAAAACTTGTATTATCTACATAATAATTCACAGTAAAGAAGAGCACAGTTCCGTGGTACAGCTGTCAGCTTGGCTGACTGTGCTGTCAGCCTGGCTGACTCCGCTGTCAGCCTGGCTGACTCGGCTCTCAGCCTGGCTGACTCTGCTGTCAGTCTGGAGAGTGTTGGCAATACCAGGTAAAGTTTATGTAAGAATTATGATTACTAAAGTGATGATAAAGATAATATTGATAACATAGAAGACTGTAAGTTCAGAAAGTGAAGGTAATCTGTGGATCATGTGTAAACACTGAAATACTGAAGTTAACAACACTTGTATAAAGGAAAGTTGCACTTGGGTGCATTTATAGTTGTGGAAAACATATATAAGAGATGTTAACAGAGTAGAGCTTTGATAGCTAAAGTGTTGAATTAAGTTACAATATGCAAGAAAGATGGTAAATATTTACCGAAAAAATGAGTCTTAGATAATGTGTGATGTCGCCTGTGGTGTTAAAGACGTGTGATGTCACTGTACTTTGCTCAAAAGAGCTAAATAAGTAAAAAACACCTTGTTTTCAGTATATTTTCATAGTGTAACATAAAAGGATTTCCAAAATTTACGTTAATTAGCCTCTCGGAGGTGCCGGAACTGTGAGGCAGCTTGGTGGCGTCTAGCTGACCTACGGTCGCGGCTGTCTTGATGGGTGTAATTACTGGACGCAGTTTTCTGTGTGTGTCACCTCCAGTAATTCCACCCACCTGGACAGTCTCTACCGTAGACCAGCTAGACAAGACCAAGTTTCCATGCAGCGAGGTCACTGAAGGTGGCAACCGCTGACTCTGGGGAAGTGTGGAACGGAGTCTACCTGAGGTGACAACACTAGTGGACTCCTGGAGACACTGATCCGGGGAAGGCACCGCTGACTCTGGGGAAGTGGGGAAGGGAGTCCACTCAGGTGACACAAGTGGACTCCTGGAGACACTGATCCGGGGAAGGCACCGCCGACCTTAGGGAAATGGGGAAGGGAAGACATCCGGAGCGAGCGGATGGATTCCTGGATACATGAACTTGAGGAAGGTTGTTGTTGAGGCTGACCTTGGGTAAGTGGGGAAAGGGAGACATCCGGAGCGAGCGGATGGATTCCTGGATACATGAACCTGAGCAAGGCAAGAATACATGCAGTTGAGGCTGACCTTGGGTAAGTGGGGAAAGGGAAGATATCCGGCGGTAGACGGAAGGATTCCTGGATACATGATCCTGCGGACGGCAAGAATACCGCTGACCTTGGGAAAGTGGGGAAGGGAGTTCATCTGAGGTGACATAAGTGGATTCCTGGAGACACTGACCCGGGGAAGGCACCGCCGACCTTAGGGAAATGGGAAAGGGAAGACATCCGGAGCGAGCGGATGGATTCCAGGATACATGAACTTAAGGAAGGTTGTTGTTGAGGCTGACCTTGGGTAAGTGGGGAAGGGGAGACATCCGGAGCGAGCGGATGGATTCCTGGATACATGAACCTGAGCAAGGCAAGAATACATGCAGTTGAGGCTGACCTTGGGTAAGTGGGGAAGGGAAGATATCCGGCGGTAGACGGAAGGATTCCTGGATACATGATCCTGGGAATGGCAAGAATACCGCTGACCTTGGGGAAGTGGGAAAGGGAGTCCACTCAGGTGACATAAGTGGACTCCTGGAGACACTGATCCGGGGAAGGCACCGCCTACCTTAGGGAAATGGGGAAGGGAAGACATCCGGAGCGAGCGGATGGATTCCTGGATACATGAACTTGAGGAAGGTTGTTGTTGAGGCTGACCTTGGGTAAGTGGGGAAGGGAGACATCCGGAGCGAGCGGATGGATTCCTGGATACATGAACCTGAGCAAGGCAAGAATACATGCAGTTGAGGCTGACCTTGGGTAAGTGGGGAAGGGAAGATATCCGGCGGTAGACGGAAAGATTCCTGGATACATGATCCTGCGGACGGCAAGAATACCGCTGACCTTGGGGAAGTGGTGAAGGGAGTTCACCTGAGGTGACATAAGTGGATTCCTGGAGACACTGATCCGGGGAAGGCACCGCCGACCTTAGCGAAATGGGGAAGGGAAGACACCCGGGAGCGAACGGATGGATTCCTGGATACATGAACTTGAGGAAGGTTGTCGTTGAGGCTGACCTTGGGTAAGTGGGGAAGGGAAGACATCCGGGAGCGAACGGATGGATTCCTGGATACATGAACTTGGGGAAGGTTGTCGTTGAGGCTGACCTTGGGTAAGTGGGGAAGGGGAGACATCCGGGAGCGAACGGATGGATTCCTGGATACATGAACCTGGGGATGGCAAGAATACATGCAGTTGAGGCTGACCTTGGGTAAGTAGGGAAGGGAAGATATCCGGCGGTAGACGGAAGGATTCCTGGATACATGAACCTGGGGACAGCAAGAAAACAGGTTGGTGAGGCTGACCTTAGGGAAGTGAGGAAGGGAAAACATCCGGAGGCAGACAGATGGATTCCTGGATACATGAACCTGGGGAAGGCTGAGGCTGGAAGGCAGAGAGAGAAAGAGAGGCGAGGCTGACCTTAGGGAAATGAGGAAAGGGAAAACATCCGGGGGCCCACGGATGAATTCCTGGACACATGAACCTGGGGAAGGCGAGGGGGGGGGGGACCTTAAAGACGAACCACTGGCCTCCACGTGGCAAGGTCTGGTAACTCAGAGATAACTCTGAGGCTGACAGTGGTCGCAAATATATTATAATTCATTATAATATATTATTATTATTATTATTATTATTATTATTATTATTATTATTTGGTATTATTATTATTATGTTATTATTATTATTATGTTGTTATTATAATTATTATTGTTATTATTCATGATTTGGATTCAAAAGCGTCAACCAGCCTCCCTGACAGTAGCATCGGTGATGTTATTCCCACTCCAGCCTCCCTGACAGTAGCATCGGTGATGTTATTCCCACTCCAGCCTCCCTGACAGTAGCATCGGTGATGTTATTCCCACTCCAGCCTCCCTGACAGTAGCATCGGTGATGTTATTCCCACTCCAGCCTCCCTGACAGTAGCATCGGTGATGTTATTCCCACTCCAGCCTCCCTGACCCGTAGCATCGGTGATGTTATTCCCACTCCAGCCTCCCTGACAGTACATCGGTGATGTTATTCCCACTCCAGCCCTCCCTGACAGTAGCATCGGTGGTGTTATTCCCACTCCAGCCTCCCTGACAGTAGCATCGGTGATGTTATTCCCACTCCAGCCTCCATGACAGTAGCATTGGTGATGTTATTCCCACTCCAGCCTCCCTGACAGTAGCATCGGTGATGTTATTCCCACTCCAGCCTCCCTGACAGTAGCATCGGTGTGTTATTCCCACTCCAGCCTCCTGACAGTAAGCATCGGTGATGTTATTCCCACTCCAGCCTCCCTGACAGTAGCATCGGTGGTGTTATTCCCACTCCAGCCTCCCTGACAGTAGCATCGGTGGTATTATTCCCACTCCAGCCTCCCTGACAGTAGCATCGGTGATGTTATTCCCACTCCAGCCTCCCTGACAGTAGCATCGGTGGTATTATTCCCACTCCAGCCTCCCTGACAGTAGCATCGGTGGTGTTATTCCCACTCCAGCCTCCCTGACAGTAGCATCGGTGGTTTATTCCCACTCCAGCCTCCCTGACAGTAGCATCGGTGGTGTTATTCCCACTCCAGCCTCCCTGACAGTAGCATCGGTGGTGTTATTCCCACTCCAGCCTCCCTGACAGTAGCATCGGTGGTGTTATTCCCACTCCAGCCTCCCTGACAGTAGCATCGGTGTTGTTATTCCCACTCCAGCCTCCCTGACAGTAGCATCGGTGGTGTTATTCCCACTCCAGCCTCCCCGACAGTAGCATCGGTGATGTTATTCCCACTCCAGCCTCCCTGACAGTAGCATCGGTGGTGTTATTCCCACTCCAGCCTCCCTGACAGTAGCATTGGTGGTGTTATTCCCACTCCAGCCTCCCTGACAGTAGCATCGGTGGTGTTATTCCCACTCCAGCCTCCCTGACAGTAGCATCGGTGGTGTTATTCCCACTCCAGCCCCCCTGACAGTAGCATCGGTGATGTTATTCCCACTCCAGCCTCCCTGACAGTAGCATCGGTGATGTTATTCCCACTCCAGCCTCCCTGACAGTAGCATCGGTGGTGTTATTCCCACTCCAGCCTCCCTGACAGTAGCATCGGTGGTGTTATTCCCACTCCAGCCTCCCTGACAGTAGCATTGGTGGTGTTATTCCCACTCCAGCCTCCCTGACAGTAGCATCGGTGGTGTTATTCCCACCCCAGCCTCCCTGACAGTAGCATCGGTGGTGTTATTCCCACTCCAGCCTCCCTGACAGTAGCATCGGTGATGTTATTCCCACTCCAGCCTCCCTGACAGTAGCATCGGTGATGTTATTTCCCCCCCAGCCTCCCTGACAGTAGCATCTGGGTGTTATTCCCACTCCAGCCTCCCTGACAGTAGCATTCGGTGGTGTTATTCCCACTCCAGCCTCCCTGACAGTAGCATCGGTGGTGTTATTCCCACTCCAGCCTCCCTGACAGTACATGGTGTGGTTATTCCCACTCCAGCCTCCCTGACAGTAGCATCGGTGATGTTATTTCCCACTCCAGCCTCCCTGACAGTAGCATCGGTGATGTTATTCCCACTCCAGCCTCACCTGACAGTAGCATTGGTGGTGTTATTCCCCCACCAGCCTCCCTGACAGTAGCATTCGGTGGTGTTATTCCCACTCCAGCCTCCCTGACAGTAGCATCGGGGGTGTTATCCCACTCCAGCCTCACCTGACAGTAGCATCGGTGGTGTTATTCCCACTCCAGCCTCCTGACAGTAGCATCGGTGGTGTTATTCCCACTCCAGCCTCCCTGACAGTACATGGTGTTTATTCCACTCCATCCTCACTGACAGTAGCATTGGTGTGTTATTTCCCACCCAGCCTCCCTGAAAAGTAGCATGTGGTGTTATTCCCACTCCAATCTCCCTGAACAGTAGCATCGGTGGTGTTATTCCCACTCCAGCCTCCCTGACAGTAGCATCGGTGGCGTTATTCCCACTCCAGCCTCACTGACAGTAGCATCGGTGGTGTTATTCCCACTCCAGCCTCCCTGACAGTAACCATGGTGGTGTTATTCCCAATCCATCCTCCCTGACAGTAGCCATGGTGGTGTTATTCCCACTCCAGCCTCACTGACAGTAGCATCGGTGGTGTTATTCCCACTCCAATCTCCCTAACAGTAGCATCGGTGGTGTTATTCCCACTCCAGCCTCCCTGACAGTAGCATCTTTGGTGTTATTCCCACTCCGTCCTCCCTAACAGTAGCATCGGTGGTGCTATTCCCACTCCAGCCTCCCTGACAGTAGCCATGGTTGTGTTATTCCTACTCCAGCCTCCCTGACAGTAGCCATGATGGTGTTATTCCCACTCCAGCCTCCCTGACAGTAACCATGATGGTGTTATTCCCACTCCAGCCTCCCTGACAGTAACCATGGTGGGGTTATTCCCACTCCAGCCTCCCTGACAGTAACCATGGTGGTGTTATTCCCACTCTAGCCTCCCTGACAGTAACCATGGTGGTGTTATTCCCACTCCAGCCTCCCTGACAGTAACCATGGTGGTGCTATTCCCACTCCAGCCTCCCTGACAGTAACCATGGTGGTGTTATTCCCACTCCAGCCTCCCTGACAGTAACCATGGTGGTGTTATTCCCACTCCAGCCTCCCTGACAGTAACCATGGTGGGGTTATTCCTACTCGGGAATAACACGTCAGTGGCATCTCGCTGGTGCCACCCACGTTATCATAATATGAAAAAAATCCCCAAAAAGGAAATACTTTCATCATCATTCAACACTTTCACCTCACTCACACATAATCACTGTCTTTGCAGAGGCGCTCAGACACAACAGTTTAGAAGCATATATGAAGTAATATTAGATACTCTTCCAAACTGCCAATATCCCAATATCCGAATGGGTGAAACTGGTCTGTTAACAAGACCTCATGTAAAATTGAGTCCTTTCTTATATTTTCTCTGTGAGTTTAAAGATACATTTTTTTTCATTTATGTTAAATGTAAAAACTAATAACTTGTTCTAAAAGAACCTAAAAAACTTACCTAACCTTTAATTTAATTTAATTTGATTTAGCCTAATTTAACTTAAAATGTTTTAGATAAGTTTACAATAATTTAATAATAAACAAACACAATGAAATACATTTTTTTCCGTTAGGTTCAGAATGATTTTTGGGAAATTATTGCATACACAAACTTTCACTTGTGTATGTGTTAGTATGCTGTTATTGGAAGTTACTGTACTTTTCTTTTGTTACCTATTACAACCCAGGAGTCCCAAAGGCCTGTTATCCTGGGTGTAAAGGCAGCGAAATAAACACAACAGAAAAGCTTTTGACTTGCATTATCCTTCACCAGTTTAGAACAGGTTGTGACAACACACAGTCGTACTGGCCAGGTTGTGACTACACACAGTCATACTGGCCAGGTTGTGACAACACACAGTCGAACTTGCCAGGTTGTGACAACACACAGTCGTACTGGCCAGGTTGTGACTACACACAGTCGTACTGGCCAGGTTGTGACAACACACAGTCGTACTGGCCAGGTTGTGACAACACACAGTCGTACTGGCCAGGTTGTGACAACGCACAGTCGTACTGGACAAGTTGTGACAACACACAGTCGTACTGGCCAGGTTGTGACAACGCACAGTCGTACTGGACAAGTTGTGACAACACACAGTCGTACTGGCCAGGTTGTGGCAACACGCATTCGTACTGGCAAGGTTGTGACAACACACAGTCGTACTGGCCAGATTGTGACAACACACAGTCGTACTGGCCAGGTTGTAGCAACACACAGTCGTACTGGCCAGGTTGTGACAACACAGTCGTACTGGCCAGGTTGTGACAACACACAGTCGTACTAGCCAGGTTTTGACAACAAGCAGTCGTACTGGCCATGTTGTGACAACACACAGTCGTACTGGCCAGGTTGTGACAACACACAGTTGTACTGGCCAGGTTGTGACAACACCCAGTCGTACTGGCCATGTTGTGACAACATACAGTCGTACTGGCCAGGTTGTGACAACACACAGTCGTACTGGCCAGGTTGTCGCAACACACAGTCGTGCTGGCTAGGTTGTGACAACACACAGTTGTATTGGCCAGGTTGTGACAACACACAGTCGTACTGGCCAGGTTGTGACAACAAACAGTCGTACTGGCCAGGTTGTGGCAACACACAGTCGTACTGGCCAGGTTGTGGCAATACACAGTCGTACTGGCCAGGTTGTGGCAATACACAGTCGTACTGGCCAGGTTGTGACAACAAACAGTCGTACTGGCCAGTTTGTGGCAACACACAGTCGTAACTGCCAGGTTGTGGCAATACACAGTCGTATATTACATGTCCATTGTGTGTGTGTGTGTGTGTGTGTGTGTGTGTGTGTGTGTGTGTGTGTGTGTGTGTGTTAGTTACCATTTTATCCTAGGCACATGTCGATTAGACACTAGGCCTGTTGATGTGTATATGCATGTGTGCGTGTACTCACCTATTTGTGGTTGCAGGGGTCGATTCATAGCCCTGGCCCCGCCTTCACTGTTGAACTGGGTCCCCTCTCTCCCCTGCCCATGATTTTACTACCTCCCTTAAAACATGAATGGTTCCCGCCTCCACTATTTATTTTTCTGGGCAATTCCAGGGCATGACTACCTAACTGAAGAAATACTTCC